ATATATCAACATTTGGTGGTGATGCCTACTAAAGGCAACCAATGTGCCAATCAAATTCGAGAAGAGGAGGGCAGAGGTCGACGTAAACGATACTGGTTTTAAAAAAAACATTCAACGCCTTTGAAAATGTTTTAAGGAAATGGGAAAAGCTTTTAACATGTTTGTTTTCTGTGGTTTTTAACATACGCTGTATTTTTTTGGTCAGAAATAAAACTTTGTTTGCATATGGAGAAAACTCAACAGGGTACTTTTAACTTCTGCAGTAAAAAACATGCATTAAGCCAAATATATGAGAGCGGATCATAGTTTTCATTGTCCGCTAAAGTTGATTTAATTTCAAAATAAGAGCATGCAACTATATAAAGTAAAGGATTAATAAATTATGGCTCCACTTGAGTTCAAAGTTGCTGGGTAACAAGATAATATTGACCGCCGTAACATGTTTGGATTAGTCAAGCGTCTAAGGAAGATTCCAAATGGATCACATTCATCTGTGTCCAATGTTAAAATGGTACTTTCCACCCATCCACACAATGCTGTGCAGATTTTAAAAAAAAAAAAAAAAAAAAAAAAAACAATTTAGCCAGCAACATGCTCCGTATGTCCCGATGCATTCTTGCCTAAACATGAACAAAACCTATACTTAAAATAAAAGTGGTGGAAAAGGAGTGTGTGACCCACCTTGTTCATGTTGCCCGCCTGCTGGGCTGCACTGATATGCTGCCCCCCCTGGGCGAGTGTTTCTGCCAACGCACTCCCTGCTCCTCCTGGTCCCGGAGCGGCCCCCTGCATCGTCGGCCCCTGGTACTGCATGCCCGCCGCCCCTGCTCCCCGTCCTCTCCCAGCTTCAGGTGCAAGGCCACCATTCATCACCTGCCCGGCATGGCCCTGGCTATTGTTAATCATGGCCTGGTTGAAGCCCGCCGTGTTCAAGCCCATTGTTGCAGTATTGTTGTTGTTCTGTCCCGCTATTCCAGTCGGCGTTCCCGCCTTTTGGGCCTGGGGGGACGGGTGGTTGTTGGGGGAGCCCTGGCCGAGGGGACTCTTTCTCAGTGGTGTCCCCACCAGCTGAGGCCCCAAACCGCCTGCCTGAGGGCTAGTCGAGTTCAGCCCGGCGCCTGCGATACCGGAGGTGCTGCCGGCTCGAAGGAGCTCCGAGAGCTGCTTGTGCTTGGCGGCTGCATCCGGTACGACAGGGACGCCACCGGGCCCACCGGCTCCAGGTGCTGCTCCGACGTTTGAAGGCATCCCACCCATCAGGCCCAGATCTCCTCCATTAGGGATCAACTCATCTGGAAGGTCATTCTCCAAATCATCCCAGGACAGAGATCCCAAATCTAGGAAAGAGGGAAGAGTAAAGAAAATTGAGATTAATTTGATCTAAACAACATATGTATTGCAACGAATATCCTGTAAACAATTTAATTTGGCTGGCAAAATATGAACTCAAGGGCAGGACTTTTTAAAAAAACAGTACATCTTGCATATTAATAGTAAGAATCAATTAAATACTAATCTTTAATTATCATAATTTTAATGTATTTACTTTCAGCAGTATTTGTAGAAGTCATGCCTGAAAGGAGTTGGTTCCTTTTTACAGAAATTTAAGAAAGTGCACGACTAAGCTCTGCGACAACAAGATAAGCCATGATGTAATATTTAAGGCGCTACAGCAAGCATACACCAAACTTTACTCCTCCATCACAGTCCAACTGTTCACAAACGCACCCAGAAGTGGGACATTAATGGGATAACATGCCAACTGGCTGCTGATCCCTGCAGCACACGACACAGAAACATGATGCGGAGCGATAATAACAGCATCACTACTGGCTGACTAACGGTGTGTGACGCCAGAGAATTCAGCAGCACTCAGGGTTCCTGCTGGGTGGAGGAGGAATATTTGTGTCGCACCATCCAGAGGTGTGGACATGATGCTGAGAGCCTGGGGAGCTAGGATTTGTTAGAAATGGAAGTGACTAAAACAGCAGAAAAAGATAGGAAATGTGAGCGCATTATGGCCGTCCTCTCCGACTAATTAATACGATTTGTGTGTCCTCGTTTGGGGATGTCACTTCGGCTTTGGGTAGCATCTAATGTTTCCTACCATCCTGACAGTTCACCGGGGTACACAGTATACGACGGTATCGAGTGCTGCAGGGATGACGAATTTTTGGAGGCCAACACGAAAGTTAGCGTCGCACTGTTTCCCTCGACAACATTTTTGGGGATTATTGCAGAAAATAAGCTCTGTGGCAAACACAATCATTCATCTATGAACAAACAAACAAATCACTTTTGATGTTATGTTTATGTTAAAAGGTGACTTTGAAGGATTTTCAACTTATGATAGTGCAGAAAAACAAAGATTTCATTTTTGGGACGGCCCACATTCATTACAGGACGGCTTAGGTTGCATTTCGTAACGTTAGTTAAGCGCCCTGTTGTGCTGCAGGCAACTGTGATCACAACTTTTGAGGTAGGCGGGGCACAAGTGGTTTTCAATTTGATAAAGCAGTCACAGTGGAAGGTGCTGCCTGTATTTACCTTCATGACATGTCTGTGGTGAACACACAGTAAAAGAATTTAATAAAAAGAAAAGCACAAAAAGTCACCTGTTGCTCTTCATCTAATAACATCACCAATGGTTGGTTCCTGTTTTACCACTACTCTCCTGTAATACCATACCTGGCAAAAATAGTTTTTAATGTGTAAACTTGAATAAATAAAGTTCTCATTCGTCTGAGTGGTGGTGCCAACAGAAAGTGCTTGAGCAACAAAACGCATGGGGTCATCCGGCAAAAAATGTATATCAAGTCTCATTGATAAAACAAAACGTCCACAATAATAAAGCCCCATGCGATGTTTAAATGCAGAGCTGTTTTTAAAAAGAACAGTAGGTTGCTTAACAAACCCAGCCTAACATGACTCTAGCGGGTAAAAATGCTAACTCAGTTCTTCAAAGTTCAGTTCAAGTGGAGGATAGATTTGTTCCTATTTTGAAATGAAGCAAAGTGAGTAGAGGGCATGTTCAGCATGGCTCAGAGACCGCACTTTACTGCAGCTGCACAGCTGAAGGTGGGGAGAGCTGAGGAATGACACTTTATCTAAAGTACATATCCGAATCAAATCAAGCTTATCAGCGATCACCATGAACGACGAACAGGGCCTTGGTCTTAACGCTACAGGATGGGAGATAACAGAACTGGGCAGACACAGTAAAACAACCTCTCATCTGCCGTGTGCTGCTGCTGGATGTCTTCATTGAGATTCAGTCAGAATCCAGCCTTTAATGAGGGCACTTGGCCTACGTACTTCCCAGAGTAAACACAGCCTTCCAGATCCGCTGCGCTGGCTCGCTGTCCGTCCCTGGCATCAGGCAAGCAGGTGCTCCGTGTGGAGGAAGCTTGTTTAAGGCTTGAAGGGACCATCCATCTTTCCCTCCCTGGCTTCTCACTAACCAGCAAGCAGCCACATGGACGCTCTCAGATCAACAGCAATCAGTTTAGCCACATGCGCTCAAGCGCTCATCCATTTGTTGCTCATTACTCCTTACTTTAATGCTCTTCATTCCCTAACTGCCTGATCGACACACTGCTCTCTCCTTTTTGTTTTGTTGTATCCCCTGTGGCTCCTGTCTGGGAGCTAGTGGCTATAAATACACGCTAAATCCACCCGAGCAGTGGTCCAGACTGGGGACGTCTGTCATCTTGCCCAAAGGCCATGTGTCTGGCTTTAGAGGGACAGGTGCAGCATGGCCGCCAGGCCTTTCACTTGCTGTTTAGTATCACACTACGAAGAGCAAGACAGCCACTTAGAGCTGGGAGGGTAATCCATCCTCTGCTTTTGGTAGGGGAATGAGATCTGATGAAATGATGTAGAGATTCCTTTCTTTTTTTTTTGAGAATCGTGGAAGATTTCACTCAATAAAAACTGAATTTGCATATGATCATGGACTCACAAATTAGTCAACACTACTTGCATAATAAATGATAGAACTCCAGGTTTAAGCATTTTACACAAATCAGGCTTCAGTGAGTCATTCAGGACTCACATTTGTGGACCACTGGAGCGTTGCCTCCATAGATAAATGTGTCAGCTACGCAGCAAGCAAACCACAGCGGCTTTGTTTACATTCCAGCTAGCAAGCCCCACGCCTGGACCTCACCGCAGACCTTAGTGCAGTCCCCCGGCTGACAGTTGTGCAGTGAGCAGGGTTACGTTTTTGCTGTGTCATCACCATTCATGTCTGTACAACCAATGTGTTTATGATTAAAAGATTTACTAAAGCACGCAATTGTTTACAAGAGACAATTTTGTTTTCAAGGGTTCTTCAGATTGACGAATTTAACTTTAAAAAAAAAAAAAAAAAAAAAAAAAAAATCCCAAAAAAAAAAAAAAAGACAAAATTTAAGGGGACCAGAGAATATCCCAGATTCTTTTCATATTGCAATATAGACAAAATCGCAGGAAAAATTATTAACTGTCATGACATCCAACTGTGGCATCAACAAAATACAGGTAGTGTAACATGTTGTGCAACAACAAGAAAAACCATATATGACATCACCAGCGTAAACACCTATTCATGTTGAAAAGGTACCGACCAATGGTGTAACTTCATCCCTTACTTCTAACAATGCCATAACTTCAACAGTCACTCACTGCTTTGCTGCAGTCCAGCAAAAAACTACACCAACGTCTTGCAATGATTTGGTCTCCCCTCCTCTTCCCTCTCTCTTAGAAAGTCGAGTGAGTAAAATCACTTTGACTATGCAGGTAGGCACACAAACACCTTTGTTTTTATCTCGTACTTCTCACATCGCTCGTGACACACCGACATATCATCATAGAAACTAGTGGTGTAACGGATGGTGCGCTCTTCTCTTGCGCCGCATTTTTGGGCCTTTTTTAGACTCGCATGAAAGTTAAAAAGTCGAACCACACGACAATATCACAATTGACGGAGGCAGCCAATCAAATCAAGCAAGAGGCGCGCTTAACTACTTTACCACCGACTTCCTGTTTTTATGCCGGTAGATGTGGTTGGAATGGACATTGATATTAGCGATAGTTAATATAATTTCCCCCTCTTCCTCATTTAACAACAGAGCAAAGGCAGGAGCTCAATGTCCCTCAAAGCACTCCCTTTCTTCTCATCCGCACCAGGTTATATGCCTTTTATACCCGGTTAATTACCATGTCAAAGTGAAGTATCACATTTGTTGGAATGAGTAAGTCAAAATGTGAGGTCAGGTCAAATGGGAATGCAAGAGATGTAATGCTTATCAAAGCCTAATTTCAAGAAATATCAGAATTAAGAACAAAAGGTGTTTTTGAAATAATTCCAAAAGGAATTTTTGTTGGGAAATCTATAGTTGAAAGCCAGCTTTTTATTTTTTTTTTTTATATACAACATTTTTTCCCCAGCCACACACTCACTACATCACTCACAGATGACTGCTGCGTGTGGAATCAGCTAAAAAGGGCAATACTGGCTAATGAAAACAGATTGTATCATAACAAGGAAAAACACGCATACATACAGATTAGTCCATGCTGCAAACAAAGCCAGCTAAAAAAACAAGACAACTATGTCATCACGCTTCACAAGGAAGGGGTAAGTGGTGACCCCCCCCCCCCCCCGTGCTGCTCTCCCCTCTTTTTCGGAGGGTATTTCTAGTTCCCCGTAGCCGGAAACATAAATGGCTCCATTAGCAGCTGCGTCATGAGCTTACCGACTGCCTGCTAGGCTTTAAACGTGCCATTTGCATAGTGAAAGCGAACATTTGGGTGTTTCACCATCCCCTTTTACAACAAAGATTCTGCAATACTGCCGTAAAGATGATCTGCCATTAAGCCGGCTTTGCTTTTTTCACAGTGAACCTAACAACGACGGCATAACGCCGACTCATATAGCACACCTGCAATCATGTGTGAGCAAAAGAGGTGTGATGTGTAGCACAACTGCGTCGGGGTATATTTTTTTACATATCCCGGTGGTTGGGGCACACAAATAACAAGTCTCAAAACCTTCAGACCCATTTCACCGTGCCGGCTCTCCCTTTTCACACAGCGGCAGAACGACTCTGTCCCCCCGTACCTTTTATACACAACAGCGAGGCAGAATAACGCACCACAGGCCCACCTTGAGCAGGCTGTGTGAAAGGGGCTACCGACATGGCCGTGACCGACACATGGAGTTGAACTAAGAGCTCAGCAAGGCACGCATCAAATATTCACTAGCTAAGCTTGAGCACACTTGCACAAGTATGCAGACACTCACCCAACCCATACACACCCCAACTTTGATAGAGAAAAGAGGTCCATTAGCTGAAGATTATCAGCCATTTATAGATTGATTCAAATGTAATTATGAAAGAAACAGTAGCTCTTAGTGGTGTAACGGCCCACCGTCGATTCATGATCCAGAGGGATCCCCCCTCGCGGTTCAGCACACATGTGACCCGCGGATTAATTACACAGATAAACGTTAACCTTCACAGTGTGAAATAAAGTTTGACTGATGTTCGCTATCCGCCAATATTCAGTAAAATATGCGATCAGGACGTCGGTATTTAAGCTTTTCTAGTCGCCGATCTCTGATAATGTTACATCATGAACAACCAATCCGTGTTTAGATTGACAGGAGAGCTAGTGAGGTTAGCAGCACCGCTAATGGCTAACAAACGACGGTTCTGTTCAGTTACATTATGATGCGTTCTGGCTATGTTCGGTGAAAATTAGTATTGAGCGAATGTAAATTATAACTTAATAATGATGTGTTCACATGTAATCTCGTAAAATGTATCGTTGGTGAGAAACTTGAATAAATCCAGTTGTTTGAAGGAGATGTTTTCACATTAATATAAAATAGATATTAGAGATGAACTATGACCTTTTTACAGTAGCTCTAAGCAGCTTATAATACATCAATAAAACTACTAATGACAAGATTTGTTTTAATCCATAAAATTACAATCTTTTATATCCTTTCTTTATGAAGGTTTACACTGATTTCAGAGCAGTTGAAATTACTTTTTAGGACGGATGGAGCCCCGTAGACCAGCTGCTATAATCAAACAACAGAGGGATCTGTTTCTGCCAATACAGATCATCAATGATCGGCAAACAAACGTGACCAGGGATCTCTGTTATATTAGCTCCCTTTTTTCGTTTGTGCTGATCCAATCTGTGATCCGAACCGTGTGTTTTATGATCCGTTGCACCACTATTAGTTCTGGATGTGTATTCACATTGTTTTTTAAACAACAACCACTGTCCCAATTTGGAATAAGCCAGTACGATGTCAAGACATCTTAATAAAACACATGCTCACTACCAAGTGTTACACATGGCCTGAATAGAGACAAGAGGCCCGTGTTTACTCTCTACCACTGTAAGAAGGAACCTCCCCGAACACACCCTAAACAAAGCACACACACACACACACACACACACGCACGCTTTACTACACATCTCATTATGCAAACACTCCCCATAAACATGAGCTACAGCACACCCCAAAATGTGACATGCAAATCAAACCAGGGGCCACTGAAAAAGGCAAAGGGTCAAAAGGTCAGGGCCGAGGGGTACTGCTCGCAAAGCTTCAGGCATGACTGTCATCAAAGACTGAACGCAAACTCTTTATCTGCAGTCATTTACGATCAATGACAGCGTGGCCCGGAGCTGTCCCACGGGGTCCGTTAGGTCCCCACAGTAAAAGGCGAAAACAATAAAGAGCAGGCGGGCCGGGTTTAATGATTGTTCATTGCAGACATGTGGTGCCTCTGCCATGTGTGATGCGCGTTGTAATTCATCGTCGTCTTCCCGGCCGCTTTTGTTGAAAGGCTGTCCAACTTGTTTTTTTTTTTTATTGCAGAGCCAAACTAAACTAGTCTCGATGAGAACGTGCCATTTGATAGATGTGATACATTTGCCGAGCTACGACTTGAGATCTACATTCTACAACTTCACTGACACGGGATTACAAAACATAATGTATCTGCACAAATATAAGACTTTTTATTCCAGACACCTATGTTTGAAAAGTGATATCTGCTGAATATACCTTTGGGTATTCACAACAGCAGGCCAAGTTAATACTGGCTTGAAACAGCATAACGTTAAAGCCGCTTTAATCAATTTTTGCCCACTAAAGGGAATTTCATACGACTGGCATATTATGTGTTTATGGTTAATGTGTTAGAAAACTATTGACTACTTACACATGCAGCAGACACATCGATCGTCACCACTTATTTAGATTCATGTTGACACTTGAGAAAACTTTTACCTGACAGATGTTTGGCTGTTTTCAACAACCCCTGGGTTACTTTGTCTGTTGTTTAGCTGGACACGGTGTGTACAATAGTTTTCCCAGGGTTTTTAAGTGGAAACAGTTGCCTACAGGGTTTGATGAGACCAATTCACACTCAACCATACAGTCAATTTGCAAGCTGTAAAACCAAAACACTGAGCAACGAGAGGGTAAAAGTTAAGTGCCAGTGATCTCTGTGATTTTAATATCAATTAAACATTGTTTGATGCAGGTTTAACAGATCGCTTCTATGCGTTGCTTCCATCTTTCTGTCCTCCACCCATGACTGCTGTTGTTGTTAAATTAGCCCCAGCCATGTCTAGTTTAGACTCCAGGAGTAGTCTGATGTTTGCTGCCACCGGGGAAAGAAATTCCTAACAAACTAACAGCCAAGAAATAGAGTGTCACAGAATACCATATCTTCATATCACAAAAATTACATGCCTGAAGTGTTGAAGTTCAGCAGATTAAATATTTACTGTACACTCGCAGGTAGTCCCGTCACAACCAGATTGGTCTGAGGGTTCATAGGCTTGCTTAAGGATGCTGTGGCAGGAGATGACTGGGTTTTTGTCTCCGCTGATTCATGTTTTTATACTTGGTAGATGAATTGAGATCCAGTTTCAAACATCGCCTGCCATTCATCCTTTTTGTCCTTCTCTCGGAGGCAACTACCGTCTTATCGTCACACTACACACAGACATGAACACAATCAATAAAATGAAATCTCTCTTGATTAAATGCAGGTGTTGTAAAAAGGATCCAGCATGAAACTCTGCTGAGCTACATTGGATCTCTTTTATGAGCAGCAGTATGTCATGAATTGACACCGCATCTGATCTTGACATAAGATAGACGTTGCATCATTTGAGGTATGTGATGAATCAGGGAGTGTCTCCATAATGCCATTAGACCTCTGACAGAAATGATAACTAAGGTTACAACTTCCTACATAAAGTGGTTCACTGCTGTGTAGTAACAGAATCACGGAGAAATACTCTTTGCTAACATCCACCAACTCAGTTGTCAGTGTGAAACAGTTAAAACTAGTGTGGTGTAACGAAACATGCAACTTTACATTTTGTAAACTCTAGTTTGTGGACGTTACCGCGTGGAGGTGTGATTTAGTGTGATAAGGACTGTATTAGACTGCATTAGCACAAGGCAAGCTTACCTCGTAAACTGACGCTCACCACAGAACCAAACCACAACACTGCAGTAAAACCACAGTAACTAACTACAACACACCGAGCTGACCTGACTTGAAATTGTGCAGCATGGCTGGTCAATACATTCAAGAAACATGCTCTCGTGGCAAAGTTAACTATGCATTTGTATTTTTAACGTCACATTGTGCAAACAGCGTTGAGGCCTTTACCTGGTCCATCAGACGCTGACAGGGCAGGTGAAGTCAGCTTCGGCCGCTTAGAGTTGGGAGGTCCGACGTCCAGCAGGTTTTCAGCCATGGTTGTTCTCTTGTCCGGATAGTTTTGCTTTAGTTGATGATTATGATTACTTTCTGTCTGGTAACTTGTTTACCTTCCCGGTTAACACATTAGCAGCCTGCTAACGTTAGCTAAGTGGCTAATAGCTAACGTTAGCTAATTGCCTGCTAGCAGCTAGATTACCTGTTAGCGTTAGCTGCTCCTCTGCGAGTGTCTTCTTCAAAAGAGATGCAATAGCGCCCCGCTTCGCCACCGCCATTCACCCCATGATAATCCAACACCCAACACCCACATTATTATCGTTGAATACCCCGAAATAAAATATCCCCCATGAAAAAAAAAATCGAAATTCAAAATGCAAGTGTAATAAAAGCAGGCGGACTGCTGCGCTCCGGGGGAAATGTCGTAATTTCTATATGTTCAAAGTGCCCATTTTGAGTGACGTCAAATTTCTTCATGCAAAAATTCCCGCGAAGCTCCACAAAAATGCACAATTGCATAAAAATGCAGTATTTTTGCAAATCGTCTCGAAAGTCACGCTCCGGTCTCCGCTTGCCCACACGGTAAACAAGACCGCTGCTGAGCGTCGTCAGGGGCTGAATCGCCGCTGAAGGGGAAACCAGATATACGGAGCGGGTTTTGCCCGACGACCACCGATCCTAGTCCCGTTTTTTCGCACAAAATGTCTCCGAGGCGATGTTAAGATTTCGTTTTCTGGGGAAGGACGTTGTCATATCGCGGTAAGGACGCTCGATTTTCTACGTAAAAACCAGTGTTGGACCGAAATCCCAATTCCGAGCCACGACAAGATGGCGGCTGTTGATTCCTTCGATACAAAAAAGTTTTTTTCTTTTCCAGATCGTCTGTGGAGGGGGAGGGGCCGCGCTATCACGCCCTACGTGAAGACACCGCTCCTGTTTCACCGCTGGGGGCGCTACAGCACCGCCGGAGATACTTAGAAGCAGTTCACGAGTCAGAGCATACATTTAAAAATAAAAGTACATTCTAGTTATTAATATTGAATTCAACATAAATACAACATCCCAAAAAAATATTTATTTATTAGATTAATACATTTAAAATAAGTTCTGTGTTGCATGTTATTTTATCATTAACTCATGTAGGTTCTGGCAATGAATATTGAGTAAAATATACTAAACTGACTAAACTAACTGTTATTATTGACAGGTTTGGAACTATCTTTCCTAAACTTGGCCAACCACCAATGTGAATATACCCCGACTGCCCACGTCTCTGATTTACTTTGAATTGCAATTTTGTTTTGTTTTTAAATTTCTGTCTGATTATCAGGCTATGGTTTTAACATGAATTCATCTCCTTTTTATATTTCACAGTGCACTCAACTGTTCTCTGCTTGGAGATTTATTTCTCTCATACTGAAAAAAAAAAAAAGTAATACAATTATACCGATCACGCTTACTCAAACAGACACACATTGAACCAATTTGATAATACATGTTGCTTTTTCATTGTTTTCTGGCAAAAATCTGACACGTGCACATGTATAAAATAAAAAAAAAATTATATGTGACATAAAATAACTGCATATGTACAAACACTGAGTGCTTTGTGCAAATGTGTACAGATTACGATCATGTGTTGATAAATGATACATGGGTAATGTGCACAAAAACATGTATAATACATCTCATTCATGAACTTAACACAAATACACAACGATTTTAAATCAAACAACCGTCTAATTTTTGTCCCAGTGTAATTTAAAACACTACGGGTTGAATTTATAATGAAAACATGTGGAGCTGTCACAATTAAAATGAGTGATTAGGCGATGCCGTTTTGTTGTGATGATTTTAACAAGTGCTAATAAAACACTCTCTCCCTTATTTTTCTGTCACAAAGCAGATTTACATTTCTTTAACAAGAAGGGATGACTGAATGCCATAAACTTCTCAATGTACAAGGCTGTTTTTTTTGCAATTTTTAACTGGAGCCCTGGACCTCTAAAGACACTTCTTTCCCTCTGCCAAAACTAAAACAGTTGTCATACACATCATTAATACACTGTCAGAGAAGTATACAATCCAAGGAACCTTAAGTGAGCAAAGCACAGTGATTTGAAGAATCCCTTTTGTTGGCAGTACATGCTTATTGTTCAACATAAGTGTAGAAAGAATTATATTGAAATGAAACAAAAACAGAATGATAGTATGGTGCAGAGTCAAGACTCAAAATGTAGTGTGTCTGGTAAAAAAGAAAACTGCTCATTCGTTCCCATGCAAAAAAAAAATCACAGACACTTCTCCTCCCCCCTCCCCCCTCCCCCCCCCCCAACTGTATCACAGATAACAGAGCCAGCAGTGTTCACTTTAATATTTTATTCATATGCGTGTACAGGTGTGCGCTACTGGAGAGGTGGTGTGCCCATCAACAGGTGCAGCCCCAAATCTCAAATCTACTCTGGCTAGTTTCGGTCACTGCTGTGCAAACTCGGGCTTTAGCGAAATGCCCTGAAAATCCCCACGGACCAACCAACAACGTGAGGCAGACGGGTAATCTGGCAAATTGTCTGGGAAAAGAACAAGAACTTTCCTTAAAAACCTTATATTGCCATCTGTTTCCAGAACTATGCATGGTATGGTTTATTAGGTTTGGCAAACGAGTGTGTTGAGAATATGCATTCATTTATTAATGTGGCCGTTGGAAAAAGCAATGACAAGGATTTGTGTCAACAAAGCAGATCTTGTGTAGCTATTTGTCTTCATTTAGAGTGACTGCTTCTGGAGAAACTTCTTTGGATGTTCATGCATTTATGCTACTAACATGATCATGATTACTTGATACAAATAATCACAGCTCACACACGCTGATTAAACATATTCCTAAATTCAAAAGGCACTGGTTGTGTATGTTTGGAGTGCACCATGGAGACGGCTACATAATAAGGGATGGTTCCTCATCTCTGTATCTCTAGAGCTTTCTTTTCTCCATTTTAAAGAATGCAACTAAGTGTGTGACATTGCGCTACAGATAAGGTAGCAACAGCAAAAGAACAGTTTAACAGTGGCCATGTAGTTGATTGATTTATTTTTGCATCATACCACAGGGATCTTTTCTGTGTTATTGACTTGGAGTAGAAATGAAATATCTCTCTCACACACATACACCCAAAGTACAGGGGGGAAACAAGTGCTCGAAGGAGTAAAGACAAAAGCATGAAGCGAGTAAAGAGCAAAGAGAACTACAGAGGTGCCCGCTATTCTCAGACTGAAAGAACTGGAAAATAGAAAGAAAAGAAAGAAATATGGAATTTGTCAAAAACAAAAACCTGCACAACGAGCATCATTTCCTCAAACATACACTCATAATCTATCCTCATTATGAAAACAGCATGATAAAAAAACCTTTCTGAAAACCAAGATACTCAAAATATACAGTCATACTTTTTAGGCACCACAAAACAATTAGTTTAGGTTGCACTGCACCTATAGATCACTCAATTAAAGTGGCACAATTTAAGTATCTTGATACAGCAGAGGGCCCCCTCCGTATAAAAGCTGTGACTGGATAAAGTGAAAAGTCCCACCCCTTCAACAGCAAATCACACAGCTAAAGGCAGACGACACTTAACTATTGAATACATCTAAAGTGATGGACTGACTCACCAACGTCTGGTTGTTCTTCTGCCGATGAAGGCAACGATTGGAACTAAATTTGCGTGTGAGGTTTTAAATAAAGCACTGTAGAAACTGTGGTTGATCTGTGCTTTGACACTTTAACAAACGGCAATGTGGACCCCCCCCTATCATCTATCAATAGCGTCACAGTGATTGTCCATCACAGTCCCACTTCACTCAAAATCTTTGGAGGATCAAACTCTCCCCCCTCGGTTGGCCACCAAAAGTCTGGTGTGTTTTTCTTACGGTTAACAAATTCCACGAAAAAGACCAAAATCAACAATGAATCATAATCAACAAGTATCGTCTGTGTAGTCTGAGTCTGACATCTCGTATATTCCTCTGTGCCTTCGAGCGCTGTTGTTGACCAAAAACTAATAAAACATATCAATGAGCCACATCGTTGCACTGGGTGTCATGTTCCTTCATTACAACAAAAATGGGCTCTGTATTTTCACTTTGAGTCAATCCCACATACACCACCCTGCTGCTAGCTCACCACATTAGCTACTGAACACCGTCCCCAACAAATTAACTGCTTATTCTTGTTTGAGAAACATTTACTAAAAACCACAGGGCCCAGGAGCACCATGCTGGTCTAGGGGGGTAGGTCAGATTGTGAATGGCAATCCCCATCTCTCTCTCCTCTTATTTTCTTCAAGTCATCATTACTGTTTGCTATGATGAAAAAGACATAAAATACCCCCGAACAAAATAAAATACTACAGTGCCTACTGTTGGGATTGTGTTTCATACTCAAAAGACACATCTTGGGTGGAGTATCACTTTAAGTATATTTAAAGTGCCTTCCTGCTTCTGTGACGATCTCACTTTTTAAAACCACCTTTTCCTCCAAATCTATATTCCCTTATATGATTTGATTTTGTGCTTTTTGATTGTACTCGTTGTGACAGACAAGAACTTTGTTTCAATGTTCTTAAAAGCTATTTCAACATTACCATCAAAGACATTAGCGGCCATTTTAATGGCCACTTCACGGTAATAACTTCCGAATACAAGTGGTCGAGAAAACACTGCGCAAGACATGTGCTTAAAATGTGCATTTAGCTGCTACACAAACTAAAATCTATGCAGCGTGCTTTGCATGTCTCCTTTTACTGAGATTCGAGCACAAACGAATACTGTATTAAGCCCTCGAGTCAAAGCAGAATACATAAATTAACACTGCTTCATGTGATTCCCTCATTCTTCCCATAGTTCCCTGCTCAGCCCATCATGCTGCACTGGCCCTTATATAGAATCTAAAATAATTTTCCCTTAAGTAAGGTCAAGACTTTGATCAAGGTAAAACAAATGATATGGCACAACAATAATAATTTTTTTCAAAGAAATATTTGCATTGAAAATAAAAGCATGGAGTAAGAAACCACAGCATGTCCCGCAGTCTAAACATTGTTGAAACTTTGTTCAGTAATTTATATTTGTTCATTCACTGTTCTAGTCCTGAAGGCACTTAATAACAAAAATGAATAAGAAAATACACCAAGAACAACACCAACAGTCTTCCTTCCCTCTGAACCCTTTTCAGCCTTCTCCCCTAATACACTGCTGTGCTCAACACAGGTCTAACCCACCCCAGTACGTAGGCAACATCACCATCAAAGACATCAGGAGCCATTCTTATAGCCACTGTTTGCGTTAGAGTGACAAACTCCCTCTACATCATCCGTGCTGAAGACACTTCAGCGATGCCTGAAGAAAGGGACATGCTGCACCTGCAATCGGTCCCGGAGAGTCAGACTGCAGCTGGGGCAGCGGGGGGACAGAAGTCACAGGAAGAGGAGAGAAGGGATCAGAGACGAGCATAAAACTCCTCGTTGAGTTTTGATAGCTCGTTGGCATCCACCTCCACCTCCACCTCCACCTCTTCCTCCTCCTCCTCCTCCTCCTCCTCCTCTTGAAGTGCGAGAGGAGCAGGCTGCACCTGGGATTGCTCTTGCGCAGCACTAGGCTCTGGGCCCAGTTCGGAGTGGGGAGGGAGGTGACGGTCTGTGGCAGGGGACTGCCCAGGGAGGTGCGGAGGGTCCCTATATCCCTCTTCCCTCACCTCGGTGGACTTTGCTTGGACAGGCTCAGGCCTTACAGCACTTTGTGGTTGAGGAGTGAGTGTGGAAAGAAAGGAGGAAGAAGGAGTGGCAGAAGAGGGAGGAAGAGCTGCTGCCTGGGCAACAGATCCCGAAGTCATATTCAGCGCCGATGCCATGGAAGGCAGTCCGAGGCTGGCGCCCAGCTCCGTGCGATCGTGATATATACTTTCCCCACTTTTGGGGCACAGAAAGGTCCTCATTTGACCTTTGCCCTTAACATTAACTGTACCTCTATAGTCAAACTCTAAGCCCATGGCACTGAGCACAGCATGGCTCTCCTCGCTCACCTGCACCCGACACTCCACCCCGGTGGAGTCCATGCGGCTGGCAATGTTAACCGTGTCACCCCAGATGTCATAGAGCAGCTTAGTGGTGCCAATCACCCCCGCTGTCAGCGGGCCATGGTTAAACCCAATACGGAGCTTGAAACCGAAACCCAGCATGTTCTTGTTGAAGTCGTCCAGGACGCCCATCATCTCCAGGGCAAAGTTGAAAAGTGCCCTCAGGTGAGCGTGTGGAGAGTCGTCCTCATTCTCAGCCAACTGCCGGACATTCAGTCCGGACGCGGCCATGTAGGTGGCCCCGATTGTCTTGATCTTTTCCACGCTTTTGAATTCGGGTTTGCGAAGGAGCTCGTCAAAGTCTCCAATTAGCTCATTGAGAACACGGTAGCACTCTTTTCCGCCCTCGTAGCTTTCTTCATAGAACTCACTGAAGTTCACAATACTGGCAAAGATCACGCCCGCACTGTCGTGATTCTTGGAGTAGCTCTGGGTCACCTGAGGAAACAAGGAAATGTGTTGGAATATTTTGAACTCTAAAATGGGCTTATATTTATGATGATAGTGATGCTACAATGTTTATCATTTAAAATGTTTATCTTAAAATACTAAGAAAGCAAAAGTATATGCATTAGGCATTGTTCTGATAACCATAATTAAGTCTGATATTTCTTTTTCAAAAACTACAAAAACCTTGAGCTGGTCAGCGACATGGATGGGGATGATGTTGCCCAGTAACCACTCAGCCTGGTCTCGCATCGTCTGGATCTTGAAGCGGTGTTTGTCAGCCTCTACATTGCCATGGTAATGGAGACGGTAGCTGACCTCGAACTCACGGTTAAGGAACCAGACCAGGAGAAGAAGCAGGAAGAAGGCCAGCACAGCCTCCGGGACCAGAAGCTCAAGAGGTCGCGGGGGACGTTCAGGTGTGACTAATGCTGAATCACCATCACCGGATGTGGAGATGTTCAGTCTGAGCGAGAAAACGGAGACAAACAGAAGAAGAGTAAGAGTGGTTCAAGATGAACATAGAAACAGCAAAACACAGGAAAACAGTTGACAGGATAAAGAAGAGAGATGAGATGGAGGCTGGAGAATTCCACCATCACTATCTGAAGTGAAACTACATGAGGATTAAAATGATCTATTTATTATATATTCTACCCAGATAGAAAAAACTATCATCTGCTTCATTTACAAAGCAAGGGGAAGTACATTGTAGTGGACAATAAAGATGAAGCACTGAGAAGTGTAGTTTCTCATGTGAGTTTATTTGTGATCTGAAGACTTTAAACAATGTACACACTGTAACCAAAATAGTTCCTTAAGGTAATTATTTTTGCAATGAGCACAAGTGTACATCCAAGCATTCTGAACGTAAGGAAGGTTTGAAGGGTTATTTGTCCTTAAAAAAAAACACCACAGAAACCTCATGTCTAAACCTCATGACTAATAAAAGCTAAAAGAAATACCTGAAGGCGTGCTGACTGCAACATTGGCTCATAAAATGATTTTGTTAGAACAGCAGTGTGCTCATGAATGATTCAAGCAGTGTTTGTATCCTGTAAGCATTAAGAAGTAGCTGCCAATCAAAATGCTATCATATCATATCATATATTTACTAAAAAAAAAGTATTTTCCAGCCTCCTCTCCTCCTCTAAAGTGTAGTCAGCTAACTTCTGGCTCTGGGTTATATGAGTCATTTCCACCACTAGTGACATTTAGCAGCCATTACTGTTGGTGCACACAGGGGGAGACAGAGGAAGAGAGAGAGAGAGAAGGATAGGCGAGTACAGAGCAGGAAAGCGTGAGATTGAGTAAAAGCCAGACAGAGCTGCAGTTATGAAAAATTGGAAAAGCAAGCCGTCGCCCCTGTTGACCCTTCAAATGTCACTCATCCATCATCCCCTTTGTTTCCACGGAGACACTTACCCATGATCTGGCAAGCTGTTATTACCGGAACTGAAAGACGAAGAAGAGTGGTGTCAGTCAGAAGAAAGGAACGGTCACACACACACTCACACACACACACGAACGAACATAATGCAGTTCATATTAAATCCTCTTTTCCTGGCTGAAGAACAGGAAGTTAGAGTGATGTAGTACCATAACAACTGGGTAAGTCACAATGTTTGAGAATAATGAATTAATGCATAAATAAAACTCATCTATCAATCTGCTGCATATATCAACTCGTGTATGTCCGTGTATATACAGCACCTGTTGACCGGTGTGCGAGTACTGAATATTTGCATTTAGTATTTAAGCACGTGTGCAAGTAACACATGCTCACCTGTACCTGTGCAAGGGGCAGTACAGCAACAGCAGCAGGGCGACCCCTGTAGCAGTGGCCAGGACCGAGCGCATCCAAAAACTCAGCTGACAGAAGTTACAATACTGGATGATGGCCAGGATGGTGGCACAGCACAAGAACATGGTCACCTGGAGAAAAGGGGCTCGTCATTAAAGCGATTTAACAACGCAACTAATGACTATACTGTGAAAGCAAAACAGAACAAATACAGTTTAGCCCGTGAGGCCGTTGTGTATAGGAGAGGTGATTATGAGTTTAGGGTTAACTAAATAATCCACATTATGGATCTTCGTTCTGCAACTGGTACATAAAATGTAGATGTTAAATGCAATATAAACTAAGTCAGAGCTTCAAAGGCATTAAAGTCCAGAAAACTGCATGTCTAATTAACAACCCTCCATTAGACTACCACTTTGATCTGCAAGCCCCGAAGAGATGGAGAGAGTGGAGGGGTGAGACAGAGCGGGGGGGGGCGGGGGGATAGAAAAATGGGGTGTTGAAAATCCCTGAAAAACAAGGTATCAAAACACCACACATCTTGCAAGCAGCCGTTACCTCAAAGCTGAAAAGAGAGGATCAAACTTATACAGATGGCCTTGAATCAAAACGGCACAAAAAAACGCAGTGAAGTATGGCTGCTCTCAATCTTCTCACATGCAGGACTCAGAGAAGAAGAAATGTCAACATTTCTGGTGCCAAGGTCCACAGGCGAAGCCTCCTGAAGCCTCTGAGCTGTTTTCCTTCTACAGTTCCTGAAAGGGCTAATGCCAGCTAACGGCTCTGCTGGCCTCCAAGGATCTCTGGCTTCAAACCACCATGGGCAAGATTTCAAACTGCCGACTCCTCTCTGCTTATTTTGGTTTCAGTCAGTGAGGGCAATAGTTAAATCAGCTAAAGGACTAGTACTAATGGTGATAGTGATTGCAGCCTTAACAGCTGTAGCAGCAATATTGTCCTTTCCAGTTTTTGATCCTACCAACCACCAATAGACATGTTTACCTGAAGGGGCAAGCGGCTGCAGGTGAGGTGGGACAGCACAGAGATGGCAGGAAGGGAGACTAACACAGCCCCAATCACGTGACGGGGGACCCATCCAGAGACCACCAGGAGCAGGGAGCGGGTACAGTTCATCACCTTCTCCAGATAGAAGGCCATACTGCAGTAGAGGAGAGGAGGACATTGTGTTAGGAGGAGACAGCAGAGGATGACTTTCCAGCAGCACAACCCCAAAGCACTGTCAGTTCATTCTAAATGATGCCAAAATATGAATCAAGAAAAACACGACCAAACTAAATAGTCACACACAAAACAGTAAAGTAAAGAAAAACATTATCTTTCGCCGTATGACTCCACCCCTAAACCTCAACTGCGGGAGACTCTTAACGATCATTAATTAAGACACATTATTAAAACATAACTGTCCAAGTCCCAACTAGAAGATGAAGATTTATTGCCCTTTTTTCACATAGCAATAAGTAGAAATTAATTTCTTTACAAATGTTCTCCAGATCCATAAAACACACCACAAAATACATAAAATACATCACTTGAAATACTGGAAGCTTCAAGTATTATTTATTTTGTTCTACCTGGTAGCAGGACGTCATTGTGCCAATTTCTGAGCCAATACTGGTCCTTCACAAAAAATGGACAATAGACAGTCATATCTGACAAAGGAAGTTAATTGATTGTGGTGTGGAAGCCAACCACCACATTAAATAATTTGTTTTGGTTTCAGTGGAGAGTTGCGGTGCAATGGGATGGTCAATCAGTAGTTTTCAATCCTGTGCCACAGAGGCCCAAGAGATACCGGGGGGCTTTTCAGTATGCTAACGTGTCTCCTTGACTCTTTTCTTCGCCTCCTCGCCACCTTGCCTCCTCTCCTCGTATCTTAGTCCAGCCCACGAGAGATGCGTGCGGAGGAGGTGAGGAAGAGAAGCGTGAAGAGAGGACCCGAGACTACAGGCACTTAACAAATGAGACATCATTGCTTGAGAGTCTGCATCTTAAAGCGACGTCAATTAAATATGACGCGTGCCGCTGATGCATCAGCTATCCATTATTTTTGTTATAGCGCTGTACTTTATGATCTGTCAGATGAGCATAACAAAGTTCATGACAACTCATGACAAGTTCATGACAAGTCCTGCCGTGGTTTGAGATTAGTCAAGGCCCCATAATGTGGAAAATCCCCGGAAGATCCGGGTATTTTTATCTAAATCCTATTTGGAAACAAACACTTCGATATCATTGGGCTCTGATGGCACAGCACTGACAACACAACAGCCTAAATTACACTTCAGACACTTTTCCATCACACACAAAAGCACACCCACAGACACAGCCTCCTCACCGTATGGAGAGCACCAGGGAGGCCAGCTCCAACAGGCCAGCCAGGGGAGCCAGGGCCAGGGCGGCGGGAGCTGGAGGGCCCACAGTGGCTGGGCTCACCAGAGGTGGAAGGAAACAGGCCAGTGTCAGGGCCAGGAAGACAAAACAGCTGAGGAGAACATCCAGGAAGGAGCTGAAAGTGGAGCTCGCAAATGTCTGCACTTGCACCAGGTTCTTCACCTGGAGAGGACAGAGGGACGGGAAACTGAGGACATCAGTGGCTCAATTTTCTGAGAAATCTGTGTTTGCAGCATACAGTGAGCATCACTGCAGATTCGCATGAAATGAACTGAAGAGGTTGAATGTTAGTGTTTTTGAGCTCTGTAGTAACACTGGTGTAACAGCAGGGGGCTGCAAGGCTGTGAGGTCATATCAGGCCAAGTGGAACTGGTCCTGTGAGTGTGACAATGTGTTGCACTAATGTGACATAACTTTACTTTTCTTGTCTTTTATGGGGGGGGGCGACGACACACAGTCAGACACAGGAACAAAGCACACTATCTATAAACCCCTACATGTTTTATAACACTATTGTTCACCCAAGAAGTAGTCTAAGGTTAGTGCTGAGTGAGGCAATGATGAGTCTTGTAATTACAGTGTGTACCTCCTCCTTGTAGCTGCTGCGATAAGCCTTTTCCAGAGGTCTCTCTAGGAAGTTGAGGCTGATCTTGTTGATGGGTGGCTTGAAAAAGTAGTACTTCATCAGACTGTGAACCACAGGGAAACAAGACACAATATAAGGGAATATGTTTTTCCTTAGAAAATCAAATATTTCTGAAAATGAATCAACAACAAATGACAAAATTTACTTTTTCATCTACTTTTCCAGCTGCTCTACTTTAAGTGGATGATAACATTTTGCAGACGGGATATTTCAACCTTTTCTGTCTATAGTGACATTGTTTTGAGGGCATTTTCAACCCTGCATTTCTTAGTCCAGTTGAATCAGACTCTGGTCTGTGTTCCCGCTGGGTACAATTTGTTTTGGGCAGATCAGAACACACCAATCGTACTCTGGTGCAGCCTATTCTGTGCCCTCTGAATGGAGAGGTATCAAGTTATCATATGACAATAAGTGTGAAACATTTGCTTTCTATTTCTACGAGCACCCTGAGGACATGTAAGATGTGAGGGTGAATGTATCTATCTTATGCTATTTATTATCCTTGTGATTGACTGGCAACTGGTGTGGATAGGAACACACATTGAAATGGTGAACATTATGTAGAGAGGTTTGAATAATTCATATAATTCAGTTAAAATACTCATGATCAAATGGATCCCTTCACCATTATTCACTCTATAACCCTTAATAAAGTAAATCAGTCACCTTGAGTGATATTATCAGTTCCTAAATTCTACCTTCAACCTCTTTGCTCACCTGTCCTCCCTGATAACATCCACAAAGTGGGCGTCACTCTTTTCTCGGGAGTTCTTGGCACGCAGCTGGATCAGAGCAGAGTGATCCATTCCTGTGCCAGCTGTCCCTGTGCCACCAGTCATGCCTAGACTGGTGCCAGTTCCCGTGCTCGTGCTGGTCTTCTTCTCTTTCTCCTGAAGCATGTCGCACAGGGAGCTCTGGCTGGCTCGCACTGGGTCCTCCAACGGGGGACTCAGGAGACCGTTGGCTGCTCTGGGACTGTGACCTGGGATGAACTGGATCAGGGTGAGAAGGTGACGTAGAACAAAGAAGAAGAGAGGGACACGATTCAGAATATGGAGGAGAAGAAGAAGCAGAAGAGCAAAGAGAAAGCATGGATGTGGGATTCCACTGCCTTGATTTTCTCGTCGTGCCAAGTTTGAAACACTTCCTGCACAACTTAAAGTTGGGACTCGTATACATTTCCTGGTACCGGTGACAGCCCTGCCACATTTCTTTTCTCTTTTTCATTGAATTGTGTACTTCCTCATACCGATGCTAGCTAGCAGACCACATCTGCTCTTAGCATCCCGGCCAACAAATATATGTGTTGTTGATTACGCTATTCTAATCTGTGTGATGTTAATGCGAAACACATTGAGTAGCTTATTTAAAAAATAGAGATTATAAATTATTTTGAGATTTTAATCTTGCATTTTTAAGACTTTTGAAGGACTGATTCAAGGCATCTTAATACCAATCAAGGCCTTGTTTTCAGATGTATTAATTCAATGCCTTTAAGGATCTGGTGTTGTACCTTGGCACCGCTGGTCTTGTGCTCCTCCTGGCAGCCGTTCAGCACAGCAACATCGTCACCCTGCTCTGCCCCCGAAGACAAGATCACACTACGGGACACAAAGGGAGGCTAGAGAGACAAAGGGACGGTGGTGGGAGAGGTTGACAAATTAAAACATATCAAACAGAAGCACTTTGAGATATAACAACACTTAAATGGGTTTCATAATTGTCTTTCTTTTAACACAAACCATCACAGAATAAACAGTAGAGGTATCTATCTCTATATTCCACCCTCGACTTTTACTTTCTTCTGACTTACCCTGATCCTGTCTGGAGGTTGGTGGGGCAGCTGGGGCTCAGCGGCCTGTGCTCCCCCTGGGATGAGGTCCGGTGTGCGGGGCTGAGAACAGGAGGACAGGCTGACCCCAACCAAATCTCCGCCTGACAGCCCCACCCGAGAACAGCCACACTGCGCCTCAAGCTCCAACTTCCTCCCTGAGATCAGGTAGGTTTTTAGCCCTGAGGAGAAGCACAAGCAAAAAATAATGTTCTTGGTTCTCTATGCAATATTCAGAACAGTAATATAGGGTCAAACAACTATATTTAATGTAAAGGTATAGTGGAGTAATGTTGTCCTGAGCAGAGAATGAAGTCACTCTCCCTCTGTGTGTGTAATCCGACCAGCTCTGATTTGTTGACATAGTTGGGCCGGCCTCATGCTTTTAGTGCATGTAAGTGCATGTAAGTGCATGTGAGCGTGACCGACTGGTTAGCTCTTCACTGCGCTCAGATGGCGGTCACGGAAGTGTATAAATGAACTGAAGCACATGAAAGAGACAGTCGGATGTTCCTCAAAATAATCATGGCCTGATGGTGATGCAATCCTTTCAATGACACATTAGGCTGGACCACCACAAAGTAATAGGCAATTTGTTTATGCCAAACATTCGCTGGGCAACAAATCCTCTAATGAGAGGATTGCTGCATGTTACATCTGTTTACTCTAATCTGATGCTGAAACAATAAGTCAGTCTACAGGATATTTAGGGATTGTAATTCAAATTCAATTCTCTGGTACACATTCCTAACCTGTTGGTTATAGCTTCAAAGATGCTAAAATTATCTTGTGTTTCTTTGTTTTAGATAATTATGATATAAACACTTTTGTATGTTGATGAGACTAAATCTGGCTTGAAATCTCACAGTAACAGTTTAACACACATCATTTCTGAGTGACACGCATTCATTGTTTTTGACTTGTAAAAATAGTGGCTAGCTGCAGACATACAATCATCCGAAACTCTTTGTTGATGCACACACACACACTGAAAAGAAGGCGGTAATGTAATACTGGGTGTTTCACCAACTATGTTTGCACATCAGCCCAGAGCTCCGGCCGTCTTCACACTAGTGTCGGGCCAACAAGGAAATATACAAACAGTGGATTAGAGTAGTGGCCCATAGCCAGGCGCTATCAGCCTGTCCAAACACACAGTAATCTGGCTAGCTGGCCTCTCTGTTCAAACAGCTAAAGGTGCTAACCTTGTTAGCAAGTTGATGACGGAAGGAGTAACCAGGCCATAATGGAACCTGGTCCAGGACTCTTTATGGGCACCCTACCTCCAACCGATTGTCGGTGTTTGATTTCACTGTTATGTACACTGCTTTCCAAAAAAAGACTGAAACCAATTGTCTGTGTCTTTGTTCCCGACTGCAGTACATTCCTGACTCAGTGAGCTTTTAAGTATGTGAGATAAGAGCTTCCAGGACAAATATATACTGTATTAATGCATGCCTAGCGCATATGTCTAAGATATTTTAAAGATTGTTGTCATATTTTATCACTGCAAATGCTTTAGTTTGGAAATTATCTGGAGTAAATGAGCACATGTGGCTGTGAAAAACGTATTTGAATATAAAAACGTATTTTTCTATCCTTTAAAAGAGTTATTGCTGTCCCGTTCTGACAATAAAACATTATCTTTGAAGCATGGTGTGAAAAAAGGCTTTACAATCAAACCGAGGAAGATTGATTCAGTGAAACTGCTCATGACCTGACTTTATGTCGTGCTAACCGACATCATGTAGTATCATATTCAAAGGAAAAGCGATGATGCGATGTCGTGTCAACCTGTGTAAGTGTGACTGATGAACATCCGACCCATATGTGAAAGCATGTGCGTCAGTCTGATGCTGAGTGCGTGTGTTCATAAGTCAATTTGTGTACTACAGAATGTTTGCAACATTTTTTGTGAATCTCTCACTCACACACTCTCACACACACACACACACACACACACACACACTCCCCCTCATGTCTGTCTGTCTCTTCTCAGACTGGTTGTATCTACAGTTTTAATATCTCTCCATCTCTTTAGATCCTCCCTCTCTTTCCTCTCCTTATACTGTTACTGCTTTTCTTCTCTCCAACTTTTACAATTTCTACTGAGTCAGTGTAATAGAAATCTAATATGTTAATATAATAATAATAACAATTTCTATAAAACAATGATAAATAGTACATTTCGTAGAGCAGCAGCTGTATCGGTATAAATGCTTCCACTCTTGGTGCAGGGCTTATCCAACCTGCTACTCACAATAACAGTCCCAGGGATTCGTTGACGTAGAATAAGACTAAGAACTTGCCTTTAAAAAGTCGAATTGGTCACGTCAGTGGCAGAACTAAAGTCAATTTCAATGATTTGGTGTATGATTGTTTCATGGACAAGGGCTAATCTGCAAATATAAAAACCAAGACAAAGACCATTTATGAGATCTCAACCCACTCTCTCACACTCATACTCACACTCACACACACACACACACACACACACACACACACACACACACACACACACAGGTTCATGCTGTTCTCTGCCTACCATTAGCTCAGAGGCATGACTTATGTTCCCGACATTATCCTGAAATCCAAAGTCAGTACATTTTACTGCACAAGAGGTAAATAAGTTAAAAGCTTATTTTCCTTCCTGTAATGTTTGTCTTATTGGCAACTTTAAAAATCAGCGTTCTGTCGGCCTTTTTCACGACCGACATTTTGAATTGTGAGATTAGGAAAAGCAATAAAGATTCTACGTTCTCTTCAAGTGCCCCGGTGAAGCTAGGGAGGCCGGGACAAGGTGCATGCGCCAGAAAATGGCCCGCAAGCTTTTCAGACATGACTCGTTACAAATAGTTCACTGATTAAAGCACTATTGGATCGTCAGTTAACAGGATTTCACAAAGATTTTGTGCTAATTTGTTTATTAAATGCTTTAGACAGAGGTCTTAAAAACCTTGATTTGGCTGGCAAAAAAATTTCTTTCTTTACAGGGCTTGTAGAAAGGCAGTAAAGTACACCATGAATATGAGATATGAGTTTACAGTTAATTACAATCCCTCCTCTGCACTGTGGAGGTTGGTTTATGGCGTTTGCCGGTTACACTCGTTGTCTTTTTGTTCTTCATCGTACATTTAGTTTTTTTCCGCCCTCCGATGTTTCCGAGAATACAGCGTTGAGCATAAACACCTTCGTGCGTGCTCACGCGCCATCTGTGAAAGGCTCGTGCCAGAGTGTGGTACGTATATAAAACAAAACTCAGGCATCATACATTTAGTTATTTACACTTTTGCTTTTCCCCATTGTGACAAAATGTCTTCTGTGAGACAGGCCTACTAAGCAGATTATCTAATTTACAAAAGTAAAAACCTTCCACACGAGCAAAGGCACGAAATCTACAAAGCATAGCCCACTGACAACACTTTATGTAAAAAGACATCATAGTCCTTAAAATAGATATCGTAAATATTATATATGTATATTTTATTTGCAGTTCACAGTTGGATGAGATCGGCTGCTCAAGTGACAGAAGAACCTGAAATGATTTACTGTAATGTATTGAATTAAAAAATGTTATTCAGTAATGTTTTTTAAACTTTCATGTCAGTAAAAGGCCAAAAAAATACTGTCGCTAGAGATGTCGAGGCGTACGTTGACCACAGACACTTATTTTGTGACCTTCCCTCTTACTCTAGTGTCCATTGGAGGCAAAATGCAGACAAATTAGTGACACAGACACAGAGGAGATAGCGAAATCAGAGTGGCAAATAGCGAAGAGATGGCGAGGGGGAGGAAGAGACCAGGAGTACTCTGAGATTTCTAACTTTATCAACAGGTTGTTCTAAACTCTAAAACAGACCTTGAATTGTGAGGGCGTTTCGAGGTTTGACACAATAGACACTGAAAAATGTTCCCACCATCAACTGCAGCGTAGGTTAATGTGTGTGTGTGTGTGTGTGTGTGTGTGTGTGTGTGTGTGTGTGTGTTCTAGTTGTAGTGGCAGTAGCTGTCCTCAGCTGAACTCTCTCTGGTCCAGCCAGCTGGTCTGAATAAATCAATAAAAACCATTGAGCTGCATTGAGACCTTAAAGTGCTCGTGTCAGTTTCTTTCCCAGAGTGCTGCCTTTACAGAGCCTGGAAAGGATCAACACACAAGTGCAGATATACACACACCCGTGAGACCAATGTGTTTCAATGACTTTGGCTGCACAAACTCAGTTGTAAAGGATTAGCTCTGTTATGCCGTAGCGCTTGGATAAACACACAAGATACAGAGGCACTTTATTGTCTAGAATCTATCTGACGGTCAGGCACACACACACACACACACACACACACGCACACAAACACAGACTAAGAAATGTCCATACAGTATGCAAAACATGGAAATTACAAACATTTCTGGGGCTTCATCTTAACATTTGTGCCTGTTTTCCACGCTTGCCAGTCAAATGACTGAAAACATTTTACCTACCTTAAAGCTAAAGAGATTTGAATGAGCAAGTTAAGAGCCAATTCATTTTTAAAGGGATGTTTTTACAACTTCTTCGGAGCGGAATAAGGTGACAGACGCTGGTACTCTATGTGGGATAAAATCAAACTGCAAGCAGTCCAATGAAGTAACTGTCGGTCACTAATTCTGAGGTTGGATCCATTCAAGTCTAATTTCAGGCTTGTTTGAACAGAAACATCTGTACAAAGTATTGCACTGAAAAATCTGCAACAAAGACTAACTTGCACATAAAAATAAATGTAATAATTTGGTTGTTAATGTGTGAGTAGGTATGCACATGCAACACACACCCTCCAAGAGGACATAGCCCTTCATACACAAGACCCCCTTTCCAGGAAATATGCAGCATCTGCCTGTCTGAGACATATTGGATGGTGAACACACACAAACATGGCCTATCCGGGGAGTATGACTCATTCAAGGTAGTGCTCTGCAGTGTTGTCGCCTTTGCCCCACATATCCTCGTTTATTAGAAATCACCAACAACGTGCAAACACACACACCACATGAACAGTCACTTCCACAAGACTAAGTAGAAAGGGTGTATATACGTGAATGAATGAATGAATGAACAGAAGCATCAATGGAGAGGAAGCGTAGCTGAGTCGTGACATTCCACATGTACACCACAAGACCATACACACACACACACACACACACACACATCCG